TAAACACCACTAGGATGTAGTCCCCAATCTATACCTAGCATCTTCCACACTTAGAGCTTTCAAGGTCCTTGAGGTGGTAGACACCCGAAAAGTACTGCGAACTGTGTGAAGCAAGTCAGGTTGAGCTACCATCAAACCCAGTGCACAAAGATATGATATAGTCGACATTGATGCTAGAAATGGGTACCATTCGTTCCATCGATAACTCCAAGACTAAAGTGCTTTCCGTACATCCATCTATGGAGGTAAGGATGTGTTGCTTTGGCGAAGGTAATGATTAAGAATTAGGTTGTGAGGGTTACGACAAGATGACGAACTCAGGCAGTATTTGCTTGCCACATGATGAGTTTGAAATGTACAGGATGGTAGGTAGCGGCAAAGCTTTCTGACGAAGATATTGAGAATCTTGATTCCGAGATATTAAAGTATAATAGAAGAGAACCCATTCACGATTAAGGTAGGTAGTATCAGAAGGAGTTGTTGTTGTTGTTGATTTCAATCAGTACAAGTTACAAGTAAGATCTTACATACTCGAGGATTCAAGTATACACGACACGGCACAAATCAAGGATAACTTTATCATTCATTACCTTTACTAAATCACAATCACTATCATATTCCATACCTGGTGAATATTAGAGTAGAGGGTCCCTCACCTGCCAATTACAGCAATATTGGAAAATTGATTGGTCTTTCATCAAACTACCCCCCATTTCATTTACCATCAGCCTTTCTCCTTCTATCAATCAACCGTCTTCCCAGAAATAACCGCCCATTAAATAAAATCATTCCTTCCCTTTTGAAGATATAACACGACTTCCCGATAACACGAGTACGCAATAAACCGAATAAGAAACGAAACACAGTGTGTACCAGAAAGATATAACCTTATCAGTTGAAACTTCATGCACAACATCCAACTTCGAACTTCGAACTTCGGACCTCGAAATCTCACCCACTCCTCGCACAGTCACAAAGGATAAAACAACTTTCGTTATCGTAGTTCACAAGACCCTCGTTATCGCATTTTCCCATTAAGATAGTGGTCTACGAGGAAATTAAAACATACTGCACGTTGTCAAGGACGGTTAGTCGCTATCGCAATCATGAAGGCAATGAAGAATATGGGCATGAACCGCATGCTAGGTTCACTGAAGCGCTGTAGGTAGATTTGCAAAAGAGATCCGTCCTTCCCGAGGTCCTACATGCGCCATGAAGTAAGGAGGTCGATTTGTATTTAACTGACCATGGACATTCTATGTTACAGCCAAAGATTCCAACGAGGAAACTGGAGATCCTCAGCTCGACACCCCAGAAGTAAATGCGGCAAGAAATATTGTATGTTATTATCGCAGATGGCCGGATCGACCGAAAGCCTGGTGCTGATCATAAATATAGCGTTCATTTTGCGAATCTGGAGGTCCGGATGGCTCAGTACGTATATCTCCCTTAGACTGTCCTAGTTGCAACGTATGATATATCTAACATCTCCTAGGGTGAAGAAGTCCTTTACCTTCCTGCCATCGTCGAAGCAGCGGAATCTTCCCCAGGGGCCGCCAAAGAGTGCGCCTACCATATTAGAAAGTACCTCTCCAAGGACAACTTTAGCAAGCCTTACATACAGTACAATGCAATAATGCTGATTCGGATTTTGACGGACAACCCGGGGAAGACCTTCACAAGGAACATAGACGTGAAATTTATCCAAACTGTGAAGGAGCTTTTAAGGACTGGGAGGGATCCAAGTGTCAAGCAGTTATTGATGGAAACTTTGATTACATTTACGAGAGACAAGGCAGATGATGAAACCCTAGCTCCCTTGATTGAAATGTGGAAGAAAGAGCAAGAGAAGATGGTCAAATTAGCAGCAAGTTTCCAAGTATTATTTACTGATGGATTTTCCCCTCTAATGCATCCCAGGGTCCTGCAGGTCCACGAACCCTCATCGCTCCGCCCTTGATCCCAA